ATGTGGATTTCATTGGGTTTATGCTGTTTGGGATTCATTCAACTTCGTGAATTTTAGGTTTATGTCTTTTGCTGAATTTGGAATGCTTTCAGGCATTCCTAGCTGGGAAAGACTGGAGTACCTCATTACTGTTCCCCAGTGGCCTCTACTGATACCACAGTAGGGCATATGGCCTAATCTTCATGGGGCAGTAATGCAAGTCCTGAATCTCAAGTAGACCTTCTTTGATACTATCCCAGAGGAAAGAAATTGGAATGGAAGCTAGTCTCCCTGTCTGGTTTCCACTGACACTTGGTATTAGTTGTGGGATGGGGGTCTTTTTACTGCCTGGCAGGATGAATGACCCTTTCCCTAACCAGCCTTTTCTAGCAGCACTACAGTGTAGGTGTTGGAGCACCTCATTACATTCCTTGTAGATGGAAATCTAGGCTTCCCAGTTGGCCTAAGCTGATGTGTGAAGGGATAAAAGTGACAGTTTTTTCTGTGGACTTCGCTAGGTATATAGTGGTTACTGCCTAAATTTAGTCTTCTGTCTTGCAATTTTGGTTAGAGACCAAGCTTTTGGTGTGTGGTGGGTTTTTTTTTTTTTTTTACTGCCCCCATTTGCAGATGGCCAGCTTCTTCAGCTTTTAAGTCTATATAAAGAACTAAAAAATACAGAGAATTTACCCCTGTGTTTCTGAGTCCAAGGTCCTAACCAGTCTGCTACTTTCCATCCACCTCTCAAAAGTCTTCTTATATTTGCTTTACATATAATGTAGGATTTTTAGTTGTACACGTTAAAGGAATGAGGAAAGGCACAGCTGCGCCATCTTCCTGGAAGCACATGTCCTAAACAATATCACTGCATGATACACGTATGGAATCCTGTTTCTTTAACTGGGTAATGGTGTTTTATAGCAGCTATAAAAATGTATCTTGTCTCAGAAGCATAGTGTCAGAAGCTAGTTTCATAACTACCACTGTCCTCAGTACATTCACTAAGTGTTTACTGAATGAACATATACCAGTTAATTAATTAGAATCATAACTGCCAAGATTCTAAACAGTAAGTTTGATGATGATACTGGAAGATGATTAAATAGGCTTGGATTTCTGTGCAAGCCTATTTGGAGGGGTTGGAATCTGTGTTTGATCATTTACATACAGCTAAGGGGGAATATAATGGATAGTACCTTACCTGGAACATATGGTGATACAGCAATATCTGAAAAATGGTTACCTTCAATTAATTCTTGGTGTTTATCCAAGTAGTTTCTACAGTAAAATATATATACATATTGTTTATAACACTGTGAAATAAAACTCGAATAAAGAGCATTCTTGTTAACTTGCAAGGCGTTTATGGAACACTAGTTGCCTAAACTTTGGGCTCACTTAAAATTTCTACTAAGTGTTTGTTCAACAGCAGATAAAAAGGGATTTGGAAGGGTTGTCTGTCTTGTTACTAAACTCAAAGTTCTTTGATATACACAGTTACACCTTTTATTAATCATTACTCCAAAGAAAACTATGAGCTATAACATCTAAAATGAGACTAGCATACCAAATAGAAAAGAACTAATGCTTTCCCTTGCTTATGACTTTTAAAATATCAGTAATTATCACAAATATTCAGGATAAGGAAAAAAGAGGAGGGAAAAGTAAATACAGAAGGGGGGGAATTATATACATGGTTGGGAGTGGTTAAAGTGAAATTAACATTGATTATATGTTTTACTAAAAATGAGAATGTTAATTTTTTGATAGTAGTGTCATATGCTTTGCGCTTAAACTTGAATTTCCTAGTTTTTGTGCTTTTCAAGGCAACTAAATAATTGACGATCCAATAAGAAACATATATACATACAGTTTATCTTTTCTGCTTTGTTTATTAGGGAACTCAAAGCTGAATATAACGCATAACATTACAGTGTATGTGATCAGTAGTTGCTTATTCTTCCTTTTACATGATGTTTAATTTCTCTTTTAAACAGCTTTATTTTATATAAACCTTTCATATGATATGCTCAAACTTTTTAGAACTAGCTAGAATACAGTAAATAAACAATATAGACATTCTTGAATCTAGATTAACTGAAGTCCTACATTTAGGATATGTGTAAACCTCAGTAATTTAGAAAGTTTTTTTTTTTTTTTTCCTTTCTGTTGCCCCCAAGTTATATCAGAAGTTTCTAGTAAGTCTTTGTGATTGCCCTTTATGAACTCCAGAATGTATAACTTCAGAAATTTTCCTTTAGCATCTTCTGGAATTCTGAATATCTTTCTTGAGCATTGTTGATTTAAAAGTGAGTGGTGTTTGTTAAGAATTAATTGAAACTTCACATTTACATATAGTAAAAGAATCATTAGCAGCTCAGGTCAGAGTTAAATTGTCAACTAGTGGAATCATTAAGAAATTTTAAGAAGACACTAGAGTTCAGAGAAAACTGTCTTAAAGCTGTAGATTTAGGTAAGACAGGAACTCTGAGTTCCAGAGCTAACATTAGAAAATTTTCACTGTAAATTGTGAGGTTCTGTTGTCATTAATGATCTGTGAGATTGGGGATGGCATATAATTTATGTACAAAGTTGGAAATTTATAAAATATGATTAGCTAACTCTTGACCTAACTTAAAAAAAAAATGTAGATTGACCTTTTTTTTTTTTTAATCAGGTGACTAATAAACATACCAAAAGAATATGGCTGCACAAATACCAGAATCTGATCAGATAAAACAGGTAAGGTATTATAATTAAGGGAACAGGATTTGGGGGGAACAAAACGTAAAGCACTACTGGATGTAACCAGGTTAGTCAGAGATTTCACAAAATAAGTGTTGTATTTCATCTCTAAGAACAGATATTATATGAAGCATGTTTTTTTTTGTTTGTTTGTTTTTGAGACAGGGTCTCATTATGTTACCCATGTTGGTCTCCAGCTTCTGGGCTCAAGTGATCTGGCTCAGCCTCCCAAGTAACTGGGACAATAGGCATGTACACCTGGCTACTGCACCTGGTTCTGAGTGTGTGTGTGTGTGTGTGTGTGTGTGTGTGTTACTGGTGATTGAACCCAGGGCTTCACACATGCTAGTCAATCACCAGGCTATATCCCTACCCCTTTCTGTTTTGAGACAGGGTTTCACTAAGTTACCCAGGCTGGCCTTGAACTTGTGATCCTCCTGACTCATCTTCCTGGGTAGCTGGGATTACAGGAATGTACCACCACACCTGACTACATTTATATTTTTATTCTGGTCAATATTCAGACGGCAAAAATGTACAAGTAAATGATATTTTATAGATCATATTACAACTATTTAAGTTAGCAAGAGAATCTATGGTTTCAAGTGTAAAGTTTCAAAGCATCTTTGTTGCAAAAACTGAGTATTAAAGAACTTTCTATTTTAGTTTAGGGAATTCCTTGGAACCTACAATAAACTTACAGAAACCTGCTTTTTGGACTGTGTAAAAGACTTTACAACAAGAGAAGTAAAACCTGAAGAGGTATGAAAAGTGTTGCTCACTAAATTTCTCTAAGTTTGTCATAACAATAGGATGCCCCTAAGCATTTCACTTGTTCCTACTTACAACAGGAATTTGGGCTGCCTTTTATGTGCCTTTTATGAGCCACTGCTTGGAGGAACTGAAGCTGCCAAGGATCTATGAGCATAGAATGTTTCATGATGCCAAATTTAATGTGAAAGTCACATTGTACCAAGACAGACCTTTTTAGAGAAGATACTTGGGGTTGCTGAGTTACTGTTCTACCACAAAGATTCTTAATAATCACCTTTCAGTAGAGATGGCCTGGCTAAAGAAACAATACAGCCTTTCTATGTCCTTGACAACTCAGGTTGGCATTGGAAAAAGCAAAGCTTAAATATGGTGGTTCATATTGCATAGGTGGGTTCTGAACCCCAATCCTATTAGAAGTCTTAACTTTTAATATCCTCATCAAAACATTTATATTGGTAACATTCATGACAAGAACTTAACACATAACCAGCCATCAATAAGTACTTCTTAAATAACTGACATTTTAGGAGAGATGATAATGTAATATTCTTGTTAAAAAGTAAAAAGGTTGAGAATTAAAAATATTGAGAATGGGGTTTCTTATTAAAAAAGGAACAAACCTGCTACTAAGTATATATTCACTAAGAGGATAGGAATTTGGGCTTTCAGTTAATATTAAAATATACTGACAAAAAAAATCTAGTTCAGAAGCTTCATAAAGACAAGGACCTATCATAGTTCTTAATGCCTACAGACTGGTAGGCATTTAGTATATGTTAATTCTTATATCAACAATTTAAAGCTATGGTCACTACCCATTTGTGCTACTTAGTTCACCAATATTTAAAGAAAAGCAAAGTTCCTACTGGTTGTTCTTTTAGAATATGTGCATTTTTAAAAACTGATATTTTCGCATTGCTTCTTGGATCTTCCCTTTTCTAGATCACCTGTTCAGAACATTGCTTACAGAAATATTTAAAAATGACACAAAGAATATCCATGAGATTTCAAGAATATCATATTCAGCAGAATGAAGCCCTGGCAGCCAAAGCAGGACTCCTTGGTCAACCACGATAAAGAGAAATCCTGATGGATGGACTTTCAATGAAAGATTGCCAACAGCTGTTGCACTGGAAATGAGGATTCATGTGATGGAATCCCCTGAAAGCAGTAGGCACCGTGTTAAACCACCTGTCATGACTCTTTGGCAATGGAAACCAATGAAGAAACAACATCGCTGTTCACCAAGAATAATAAAATAGAAGATCTTATTGTTCAGAGAAAATAATAAGATACATTTGTTGAGGCCTTCAGATTCTGCAGCTTCGTCCCTTAATTAGAAAAATAAACCATTGTTTCTTCCATTGTGACTGTTAATTTTAAAGCAAAATATGTGTCCAATCATGTATGAGATAGAAAAATTTTTATTCTAAAAGTGAAATAAATGGAAATATCACTAAGCAGTTGTTTATGCTATATAGAACCATAGTTTTCTGACTGGACTGTGGATACGTTGAAATGTTTTTCAATCAGGATCATCCATCCTCCAAGCATTCCTGTTCATTCATTTCTGCCTCAAGTTGCTGGTAAATACATAAAACAGTTACTTGCTAATCATTTCAATTCATGATCCTTTTCTTGCCTCCCTTCCTTTGCCAGGATGGGCATCATACATTCTTATCCTAGCTACATTTTCATATATCTTCAGGAAACGTTCCAAGACTAGCTTGAGTTTAGTGGAATCTGAACTGTTGTGTATCTTGTTCAAAAGCTGAGAGTCCAACATGAATGGTTCTGAATCTAACCAACAATATATACTTTATTGCAGGTCTTGACATGGGATCAGTAGTTAAAAAAGTGAACCAGAGTTAAAGTAGTATCTTGAGATTTATCCTGAAACAGCCAGGTATTTTCAGGAAATTCTAGTTGATACAGAAATATACCAAAGAGTTTAGTAAATGTAAGAGAACTAATATCTTAATCAATTGGCTTATAAATGGATTCTGTTACCAATATAAACTTGTATTTAAGGGAACACTAATTGGCCTAAATGTTTAAATTTACCAAAGTGATTTATATGTTTTGTCATGTTTGTGGGAAGTAAAGTAATACTGTTTGTTCTGCTTTAAAGCAGAAATGCTGGAACAAGTATAATAACAAAATAATGTATTTCAGGGCTGGGGCTGGGGCTCAGTAGTAGAGTGCTCGCCTAGCATGCATGAGGCACTGGGTTGGATCCTCAGCACCACATAAAAATAAAATAAAGATATTGTACCCACCTATAACTAAAAAATAAATACTAAAAAAATATGTAATTCATTATAGTCAAAACATGAAAAACAGGCTGGCTTCATCTTAAAGCAAAGGAAACAACCAAAACTTCAGATATTTTACTCTTAAACTTCAGGCAATTCACTCACGTACTTTGCTATTTCTATGTAATCACATGGTTATTTACTGTGTATATTTCACAAAGATAGTTAAAAATGTGCTCACCTGGCAAATAAGGGGGATTTTTTGCAACAGCATCTCAAATACCTGAGGAGGGAGTGTATGTCTGAAAACCTTCAGAAGTTCCCGTGGTTGCCCACACAATAAAAGGGCATTGCTAAGATGTTCAACTCCCATTCTACAGTCCCCTGAAACACATTAAGTTTTCAGCAAACTATTAATGTTCTTCAAAATACACATTCTACAAACTACTAACAAAAGCAATTTGGATTTAAAAACATCAATAATATTTAGACAAGTTCCATGAAGAATAGAGTTCAAGTGTGAGGAGAAATATTGAGTGTCACAATTTAAAGCTGCAATAGGAATAATTTTGTGAGGCAAACTATAACAAGTGTCCTCTTTCTGTTGGAAGTGCATTCTTATATTGTATATGTAAGGGATGGATGATGAGTATTGTAGTGTTGTGATCTTTTATTAATGAGTTATCTGTGTGACGGGTGAAATATTAAAATATGAAATATAATGTTCCTGCTAAACCTGAAGTCTTAACCTCCAGAGATTCTGATTTAATTGTTTTAGGATTTGATGGAGATTTAAATTAAACTTTTTAAAAACAGATCCTATTATCAAAGACTTCAAGCAAGATTCAGCATAACATGAAGTAATATCTAGAGGGAAAAGAATAAGAGATTTATAAACTCTAATGTATAAGTAATTGTTTTTAAATGCATTAAGGAAGATTAGCTTATATGCAAAGATTGGAAAGTAACCGTAGTATTTCTGTGCAAGTCAGAACATGGAACAACTTGGTTTCACTCTCTGTTCTACTTTTAGGAAATGCAAAGATCAGTGAACTGACTTAAGGTTTCAAAATTATTTTTTATGCCACAGTTAGGAATAGAAGCTAAATTTGACCTTTGAAGGCAGTATGCTGCCTGTCTTCAGGTATTATATAATCCTAAGGAATGAAATTTGACACACTTCATACAACTTGGAAACTTAAAAATACATTTCCCTACAGTTATAATAATAGATTCCCACTAACTGAAACAAATTTTCCATTTATTGGTTGAAATAAATGATCATATAAAAACTACACAAAGCACATATTCATATAAAAATACATTCCCAAGAAGCTTAAACTGAAAGACCACAAGGACATGACCTGACGTAGATAAAAGCAATATGTAGGTTACAAGACAAGTTCTGTGCCTTTCCAGATAGTTAATTTTACATTTCCAACATTAGAAATTTCCATTAAGGCTTTTATTATTTATAACAATATAGCTTTATGGAGGTGATGCATTAAATCAAATTCTTCGATTGTATTGAGTTTTTAACCAAAAAAGCTGGGTGTGGTAGTGTAGGGCTGTAATCCCAGCATCCTGGGAGGCAGAGGCAGCAGAATATCAAGTCAGAGGCCAGCCTCAGCAACTTGGCAAGGCTCTGTCTCAAAAAATTCTAAAAAATGGGTGGAGGATGTCACTCAGTGGTAAAGCACCCCTGGGTTCAATCCCCAGTACCACAAGAAAAAACATACAGTACCTGCTCTCAAGATTGAGGTGCTAATAGAATACAAAAATAATTTGGTCAATTAAGTCAACCAGCCAATAAATTAAATTACACCAACTCCCCAGAAGTACCAATCAAAATTTCTGGCTCCATAGACAACCACAATTAAAATAGTTGTAGAACTGTACAGCATCCTTAATCTGAAAATTCATAATGCTCCAAAATTGAAAACTTTTTTTTTAATAGTACTGGGGACTGAACCCAGAGGTGCTTCACCACTGAATTACATCACCAGCCCTTTTTTTGCTTTTATTTTGAAGAGTTGCCACAGCTGGTCTCAGACTTAAAAGTCCTCCTGCCTCAGCCTCCCAGGTAGCTGGGATTACAGGCATGCTCCACTTCACCCAGCCAAAATCAAGTTACTTTTGACCGCCAACATAAGGCCACAAGTGGAAAATTCCACACCTAACTCCATGTAGCAGGTCACATTTCAAATGCTGGTGAACTAAAAATTTTGTATAAAATTACTTTTAGGCTATGCATAGGTGTATATGGGATAAATGAATTCCATTTTTTAACTTAAGTCCTATCCCTAAGACATTTTGTTATGTATATGTATATATTCCACAGTTAGAACCTGGTCCCAAGAATTCTGGATAAGGGGTACTCAACCTGCATGTTCTATCTGACAGCAAAGTAATGAAAATTGGAGTTAGTGGCTGAGAGAATGGGAAAAGTTCAGAAAACTGCAAAAAAATGGGCGAAAATTTACCACTAGAACACTTGTTCTATAGGGCTGGGTTGTGGCTCAGCAGTAGAGCACTCACCTAACATGTGGGGCCCTGGGTTTGATCCTCAGCACCACACAGAATGGATAAATTTAAAAAAAGGTATTGTGTCCAACTACAACTAAAAAGTAAATATTAAAAAAAAAAAAAGAACACTTGTTCTAACTTTGTGTTTATACTGTATTAACCTAGGGAGATTTAAAAAATGGTGATGCCAGAGTCCCACCTCCAGAGACTGAATTAATCCGTTTGGGGTTTGAAGATACTTAAACTAGCAGCCAAAATTACAAACTACATTATACAGAAGTATATAATATAATTTTAAAGAGTCAATCACTTTAGGGATCACAGAGAGGGACAAAATTGTAAAACCAACGATTGCAATTTTTGTTCTAATAACATCAATAACTTATCCACCTCTAAATGTAACTAAATTATTACATGGTAGCACTTGAACATAAAGAGGAATAAAATATGATCAAATAAGTAGTTGTGTGTTGCTTAATATGGAGGATACTTTTTTTTTCCCCCTGAGCTGCTAGGGATCAAATCCAAGGCCTCATGCATGCTAGGCAAGCATGTACCACTGAGCCACACCTCCAATCCTAAAGGGATACATTCTGAAAAATGCATCACCATTAGACTACTGCATCACTGTGTAAAATACAAAAATAATACAATTAGTGAAGAATACAATGTAGTTAACACCAAGTTAGAAAATATAGCCTACTACATACCTAGCTATGTAGTATATACCATTATACCAGCAGTTCATGGTTGACTTAAACATCATTATGTGGACCATGAATTATGAATTTTTTTCTCTCAAGTTATAATTCTAATTTTCTTTCCCCACATCTATCCTACTATAATAATAGTTAAAGCTGAAAGGTTTTATATATTTTAATTGCCCCTATATTGAGGAAGTATCCATATCTAGAGAGGAATTGAGATTTTATGAGCCCACACACACAATTTAAGAAAAGGTACATAAAGTTATAAATAAAAAAATTGTTAGTGGGTATTGGGAAAGGGCTATGTAAATGAAAGTCTTAAGCTTTATTACCTTGTGTAAAAGTCACTCCTTTTTATATTATTTAAGTCATACCTGTAATCCCAGTTACTTGGGAAGCTGAGGTAGCAAGACTATAATTTTAAAGCCACCCTGAACAATTTAGCAAGACCCTGTCTCAAATTTTAAAGGGTGCCAGGTGAGGTAGTGCATGCCTATAATCCCAGTGATGGGAGGCTGAGGCAGAAGGATTCCAAGTTCAAAACCAGCCTTGGCAACTTAGTGAGGTCCTACGCAACTTAGTGAGACCCTGTCTCAAAACATAAAAAAAGGCTGGGGGATGGCTCAGTGGCACAGCACCCCTTGGTTCAACCCCTGGTGCAAAGAAAAAAAAAAAGTCATTTTGAAAATTCATATATTGAGAATTGTACAAAAAAATAAATGAGACATACATGGCTTTGTTTCCCTGCCTGTCTACTTCTCAGACTACAACATAAACTTGAACACTAATTATTGTAGTGTGGTTGGTGGGGGGGGCGGTGTTAGTGTAATTAGTGTAATTGCCGGCTCAGGGGTCACTCTAGTTAAACTGGGCAAACTGGGCTGCACGAAATAACCACACAAGAGACACAAATACCTTTATCTTTGGGGTTGCTGTGAGGGCTCCTCTGACCTTAAGGGTCCGCAGAAAGAGAGAGAGAGAGAGAGAGCACACACACACACACACACACACACACACACACACACACGCTGACCCCTTTTATTGAGGAGAAGCTATTCAAATGAGGCAAGGGGTCAGGTTTCAGGGGGCTGAGTCTATCTTCATGATGTCCACTGTCAGCAGGCTGACTCACACCTGGGTAGGCCACACCCAAGGGCACAGTAAGAGGAGGGGACACACACAAGGCACTTCCATGGAAGATTCTATCCTAAACAGGGCAAGGGGTTATATTACAAAGGAACAGGTAAGCATAGCTTTACCCATGGGGCCGTAGCAAGACACACCCATTTCTGTGACTGAGCGCCTCAGCACCCAGCTGGGGAGTGTAACTCAGTCACCAGTAAGGTTGGCCTCCCACATGTAATGAAGTGAAAATGCTGGGCATTTAACTGCAACAAGCTGATTAACACATCTAGCTAGCTATTTGACATACAAATCCTAATCAATAATATTTCCTGAACATAAATTATCATAAATAACTCACAAAGGAATGTTTACATTCTTACCTCTAGATAGCCAAAGTTCTCCCATCTGTATCTCTTGAAAAAAACGTTCTTGTAGTTTTTCATTTGGTGCTGGATCCCAAAACTGAAAGATTTTTAAAATGTTTAACAATGAGTAAAGATTGTAAAGTATATGGTTACTGATCAAAATTGATTTTTATTTAAAAAAACTTGAACCTAGTCTCTGAATCCAATGTATGAGAAATGCAGTTCTTCTTTATAGTATTCAAATCAATTTCCTAAAATGGAATTGTAATTTCAAATGATAAAAATACACAGCAATGTATCAAAGTAGGTTGAGATGCTTGCAATAACTCTTATCCATATTTTATCTTAACTACTAAATACACAGCAGAAATACTACTACAATGAGTATAACAAAGGTAGCTTTGTATGTTGCAATATTATTTTCTTGCCTGGATCAACAGTGACTATTGATTATATTGTAATTATTTTTCTGGCCTGTGGGGTCACTTTGGTCATTTGGTTGATGTCTGTTCAGGTAGCAGTAACTCTCTAGTAAGGGAGGCAAGAAGCTATAGTAAGGATTCTGTACTCACAGGCTCACAAGGACATGGTGAGGGTTTGGCAGGCAGTTGGTGACTATTAGAAGGATGCTTTGGTTTGCTGCAGCCTAGTTCATTAAGGTAAGTATAGCCATAAGATGGCATCATCATTGGTACTAAGCCTAGGGCTGGTGTTTCAAGGCAAACCCTGGCCCAGAAATATCAACTACACTACCAGTTACTTCACCTTTAGTCTTTTATATCCAGAGGATTTAGGTAATTGTTTTCCCCAAGAATAATCTTTTTTAAATGGGATGACCTTGGAGAGAGGTCACCTTTTAAGCTTTTATCAGCAAACATGCTAAGGATCAGTAACATCTACAGCACTGCAAAAATAAAAATAAAAGTCTAAAATACCTGGTTGCCCATAAGAATTCCTTGGGCCACCCCTGACATACTGAAACAGAATTGCTGGTGCTAGGATTAGAATATCTGCATATTTTAACAAATAATCCAGGTGAATCTAATAAGGATGGTCCATGGAACATACTTTCAGAAACAAAAGGTCCTGAGGTGAGAAGGAAGAAAAATTCTAGAAGAAATAGGAAAAGACATCTCTCTTCTGCCTGGGGGCTATTCATCAACAAAACAAGAAAAGTTTTTGCAAGATTATATGAAAGAACATTTGAAGAAGTCTGCTTCTGCATTTCTTCACTGAAATAATACAGATCTTCATTATTTCTCCTCCTGATTGCCAATGACTGATTTTCCTACCTTCAAATTCTCTCCTCTTCTCCAATCTCCACAATGGCACCAGACTAACCTCCTTTAAAAAAGTAAAACAAGCCAGGCATGGTGGCACACACCTGTAATTCCAGTGATTTACATGTGAGACCCTGTCTCAAAAAACAAAAAAGGCTGGGGGATGGCTCAGTGTACAGCATTCCTTGGTTCCAACGTATGAGAAATGCAGTTATTCTTTATATTATTCAAATTTTCTTTCTTTATATTATTCAAAAACTCATAGTGGCTTCCAGTTTGAGGCCAGCCTCAGCAATTTAGCAAGGACCTGAGCAACGTAGTGAGACCGTCTCGAAAATAAAAAAATAAAAAGGACTGGGAGTTCCAGAGGTAGAGAACTCCTGGGTTTGATCCCCAGTATGGGGAAAAAAAAAGAGCAAAACAAGCTGGGTGCAGGGGCTACTCCCAGAAACTCAGGAGGTTGAGGCAGGAGGATTTCAAGTTGAAGGCCAGCCTTGCCTCATTCCATCCCTTAGCAATTTAGCAAGACAGTCTCAAAATAAAAAATAAAAAGGGATAGGGGTATAACTTAGTGGTAAAGCACCCTTAGGACCAATCCCCCTCAAAATGTTTTTTCATCTATTCTCTGAAAGTCATCATCATTGGTTATCCACTATAACAGAGAAAAGTCGAGACTTTACAGTTTGACATTCTAAGGCCTCCATTAGAAGATACCAAACTACCACTCAGCTATCTCTCCAGCACATCTTGAAGACTGCAGTTTCACAGTCTGTGCATTGACAAGCTGCTTCTTTCTGCCTATCATGAATAATATTCAATAAATATATGCCAAACAGTGCTGTAGACACAGAGGGAATGGACAGTAAAAAAAAAAAAAAAAAAGACAAGGTCTGCCTTCCTTGGTACAAAAAATGAAAACCATTAAATAATCACACACACAAAGGTTCAAGGTCAACCATGAATAAGGGCAACGGAGGAGAAGGACATGAAGCTATTCTAGACTCTGTCCCAAACAGGCTGGGAAAGGCATCTCTAATCCCACATCCAGTTCCTTAGACACTCCCAGCCAGTTTCCTTAACCAAGGCATCTGGGCCTTTATTTTGTAAATGACTCACTTCTAAATCTCAGAAGTCTGTGACTCCTGCTTCCCCCAGATCCTTTTATTCATCAGCATGAACTATTCTTCCCAGTCTTCACTGACACCACTATAACTTAGAATTTTTATTACTTCTCACTTATACTACTGAAATAGCCTGTTCTCTTTCAAACCATCTAGTACACTCCTGTCTGATCAATCCAAGTGAATTTTTTTCTTTCCTCCTTAAAAAAAAAAAAATCCTGCTCAGAAACTGCTCAGTAACTCCCTCCATTGAGTCTTTCCTTAACCTTGCCTTCAAGCCAGCCTCATTCCATCCCTACTCAGCTTATTCATCCCTGACCTCTCCTCCCACTCACTATTCCTCACTGTGGCTCCTTTGCCAAGCTGATTTACTGGACAGGTCTGGCAGATTCCCCACTTCGCATTATGCGCCTTTAGCTCCCTCCATCCTGAATGTTAGCCTCCCTGAACCCACAACCCAAATTCTTCCAATACCATCTCCCAAACTTAATTTCTAGTTCAGTTCAATGGCATTTTTTCTTCAAAGTCTTCTGCATAAAAATTGCATTTATTTAAAATAGCCATAGTAATAGTAAAGGTTCCACAAATGCTTTTGGAACCTTTCCTATCAAGAGGAATTTATTCCCTCTGCCTGGAATGAAGCAGGCCTCGATAATGCAAGAAATCCCCAACGCATGCCCCCATATGCTCTGGCACTCTTCCCGACGCTCTCTATATGTCCTTGCTTGCCTCTGGGGATCCAGCCCAGCATACAATAAGGAAGCTCAGGCCACATGAAGAGGACGTGTTCAGGTGCTCAGGCCAAGAGTCCCAGGTAAGGGAACAGCAGACATCAACTGCCAAATGTGAGGGAGTCAGTCTTCACAGGATCCTAGCCAAGTGCCCTGGAGTCACCTGGCTGAAGCTGAATGGGACAGGAAAACACCAACCAGCCCTGCCTAAGTTAGAGATTCAGGTGCAAAGTAAGTGTTACTTTAAAGCGATAAGCTTTAAAGAACAATAAGTAAACTGCACACCCTCCACGGTAATCCTACCCTAAAAATGATCTTTCCTCCTCTGAGCTCTTGGTGCATTTGTTGGCTCTCTCCACGGCCTTGCTTTGGGGGTTATTCTTATTCCCCTAATGCAGATCCCTGCCCTGCCTAGGAGAATGCCTCATACCTAAGAGGCTCCCAAACAGGTGTTAACTGACTGACTGAAAGAATGCGGGTGGAGGGCTGGGGTTGTGGCTCATTGGTAGTGTGCCTGCCTAGCATGTGTGAGGCACTGGGTTCAAGCTTCAGCACCATAAAATAAGTTAAGTAAAATAAAGGCATTGGGTCCAGTCTACAACTAAAAGTACTTCTTAAAAATGAAGGTGAGCTTAATTCCTTAAGTTGGACACAAGAAGCCTAAGAACGCTCAGTGGCACTTTTACAGCTGATGGGAGTTAACTGAAACTGAGCCAATCACCGAGATGACGGCAATGGTTATCTTTTAAAATAATAAATCAAATTCTCTCCTAGAGAGACGAAGATGCTTTCTGCAACCAGCTGGAAGACTGGCCCTGCGAGGCGGGCTCTGGAAGTTGGTATCACGAGGCCTCGGCGCCTTTTCAGCGTCCCGTGCAGCTCTGGGCTCTGGGCCGGCCACGGCGCCTTCTCCCTCTTCAATTAAAAAAAGCGCGTGGCCCTACAGTGTCACAGCTGCCGTTTTATAACCCCTCGGTGTCCTCCTTCCCTTCCTCCCCTCGGTTCTATAAGAAATTAAAAACTAAACGTCCGGCCGCGGCACGGGTGGGTGGGGACGCGGCGCGGCCGACGGCGCCAGCCCGGGCTCCGACGCTCTTCACCTGCGCGCAGGGCTCCACGGCCCTCGGCCGCTGGGCTCTTCTCTCTGCGAACACAACGCAGCGCGTGCTGCCGGGGTGTGCGAGGCCGGCGTGGGGCCCCGGGGCCCTAGGCCCAGCTCGCCCCGGCCCGCCCGGCGCCCACCCCGCGGCCGCTCGGCCCGTCCGGCGGCGCCTCGGCCCCCGGCGCACTCACTGTCCCGCAGGCGGCGCTTGAACTCGGGGTCGCCACGCCGCTTCCGGTCGAAGTAAACACAGTAGCAGAGGAAGGCGACGGCGCCGCCGGCCGCCAGGGCCCCCAGGAGGCCGAGGAAGGAGCGGACGCACGGCATCGGCCGCGGGGTTCGCGAGCCAGGCGTTGGGCGCGCGCCGGGCGGTGGAGGGGTGTCGGCCCGACCCGACCCGGGGCCTCGGTGCTCCCCGATGCAGGCGCGTTGACTCCTTGCAGCTAGGCTTGTGGACTGATGAGGAATCCGAGGGTCCTAGAGGACGAGTGTGCGAGGCGCCACAGCCAGCGAATAGCAGAGCTCCGTTCTAACCCAGGTGTATCGGACTCCAAATTCTGAACCCCTCTCCAGACACACCCTGCCCCTATGCCTATTTGAGGCAAATCACAGTATGCTGGGCATGGTGCTTCTGGGGACATGGGACCTCCTTAGACCTCTGCTCCCTCACCTACAAACCTTAGTAGACTCTGACATCAGCGTTGATCATCTCAGTTAACAGCTTTTAACACTACCCTGTACTTCCCAAACTTGTCTCTGTTGTCATCTGAAAGGATCCAGCAGACCTCCAACTACCTTAACCCAATAGTGGGAAGAGGGAGGAATTTTTAGGCAATAATATATTTTTAAAATTTTTTTTGATAGTTGGAGATGGAAAGAATACCTTTATTTGTTTATTTTTATGTGGTGCTGAGGATCGAACCCAGTGCCTCATGCATGCTAGGCAAGCGCTCTGCCACTGAGCTACAGCCCCAGCCCAAGCAATAATGTTTTTATTGGTGCATTATAATTGTACATAATAATAGGATTCATTGTTACACATTGGTACATGAATACAGCATAATTTGGTCAATTCCATTCTAAAGCAATATTTGGCCTAGAAAAAACCCGGATAATTTGCTAGGCGGGGCTAGGCCTGACAGTCAAAAGGTCCCAGAGCAAAAGGGGCTCAGATAGACCTGTGATACCTGCTGCTTAGATGTCTTTCTTTGAGCTATTTACCTTATCCAGCAGATACAGCAGAAAGAAAGGAAGTTAAAACCTTGCCCCCAGTGCCAGAGTTTTTTTTTTTTTTAATATTTTTTTCTTTTTTTTTTTTTTAATTGTAGTTGGACATAATCCTTCTATTTGGTTTATTTATTTTTATGTGGTGCTGAGGATCGAACCCTGGGACCCGCATATGTGAGGCGAGTACGCTACCGCTGAGCCACAACCCCAACCCCCAGAGTTTTTATAACTAAGGCAAGCAAAGTAAAAACCTAAGAACTAGTGCTGAGGTTGTGACTCAGCAGTAGAGCGCTTGCCTAGCATGTGTGAGGCACTGGGTTCAATTCTCAGCATCACATATAGATAAATGAATAAAATAAAGGTCCATCAACACCTTAAAATTATTTTTAAAAATAAAGAACTAAATTATTTCGTTTTCTTGTGATATTAATAGTGTGCACAGGGCTGGGGATGTGGCTCAAGTGGTAGCGCGCTCACCTGTCATGCGTGCGGCCCGGGTTCGATCCTCAGCACCACATACAAACAAAGATGTTGTGTCTGCCAATAACTAACTAACTAAATAAATATTTAAAAAAAAATAGTGTGCACAGCAAGGTGCTCCTCACTGCGGTGAATTTCAGTGTGTCTGAGAAGTAGCTGTTGCCCTCATGATATTAGAATTAGCAGGTGTAAGTTAAATATCATTTCAGGGTTAGCAGGTGTAGTTGATCACTGCTTTCTTAGATATGTTTTCTCTTATGATAACTTAGTCTTGTTGAGAAGTTTGTAGTATTTCTGGTGATCTGGGACTAGTTTTGGATTCAGAATCTTGGCAGTGGGTGTATCCAGCTCCAGATCATGCTTTTTAGGCTGGCTGCATATGTCTTCTCTCTACTGCCCTCTTCAATTCTCAACCTTTTCTGAGATCCTTGTAAATCCCTGTCCGCAGGGAGGGATGAGGCTAAAGAAACTGGAGCCAGGGACAATGTTCAGGTACAAAGTGAAGAGTGGAATTAAAAGGGAGGAGAATTATTACAGCAGTTATAAATAAACACATTACTGAGGTTAAAATCGCCACAGAGACCTTGAAAAGTAATTGAGCCAGGCTCAGTGACACATACCTGTGTTCCCAGTGACTCAGGAGGCTGAGTCAGGAGGATCGCAAGTTCCAGGCCAGCCTCAGCAACTTAGTGAGGCCCTAAACAACTTAGAAAGACCCTGCCTCAAAAAATAAAAAGGGCTGGGGATGTGGCTCAGTGGTTATGCACCCCTGGGTTTAATCCCTGCTACCAAATTTAAAAAAGAGAGAGAAGAACAAAAGTAATTGAAATGTTTTCAGGAAAATTTCCACTGTAAATGATATTTTCTTCTTAGATATAGACACCACTTTAGCTTATTTGGTGATCATCAGGCCACAAATTTGGTGTATCCATACTACTTGCCATGTTCAAGTTGAGAGAGTTTAATAGTTGTACCCAAAGCATGCTATGCTGGATGACAGCTCTTTCTTTTAAATGACTCTACTGAGGGATGATTGATATACAATAAATTAAATCTATCTAAAGTATACAATTTAATAAATTTTGACATGCATACATCTTGACAGTACCACTAAAATCAAAATATCCATCATCCCTAAAGCTTTCTTCATGCACCTCCTTAAGCACTTCCAGATTTGTATGTGCAAGGCAAGTGCCCTACCCCTGAGCTGCATCCCCAGCTTCCAACCTTTGTAAGGTCTTCCTCCCCACTGCCTTCCTGGCCATGCCACCACCACTGTTTGACTGTAAATTAGTTTGCATTTTCCAGAGTATTATATAAATGGAATTATATAATTCCATCTTTTATTGTCTGGTTTATTTCACTCAGCATAATTATTTGGAGATTCACCCAGGCTGATTTAATAGTTTAATTTCATCGGTAAGTAGTATGGATACACCAAAATTTGTTCCACCATTCATCTGATGTTCATGGATATTTAGATTGTTCCCATTTTAAACTATTACAAATAAGGCTACTATAAATATATAGTACATACTTATACCCCCCCCCCACACACACAGAGGGCTTCATCTATACATCTTTTTCCTATTCCCTTGAGTAAATATATGGTAAGGGTATGTATCTTTTTATAAGAAACATTTTTCTAAACTGGTTATGCCATTTTGCATTCCCATCAACAATACATATGAATTCTAGTTCCTCCCTATTTTGCCAACGCTTGGTATGCTCAATATTTTTAATTTTAGCTATTCTAGTCTGTAGTTGACTTTCACTATGGTTTTATCTTGCATTTCCCTAATGCCAAATGATGAACAATTCGAGGGGGGGCTGTTACCGGGGATTGAATCCAGGGATGGTCTACCACTGAACTATATCCCCAGCCCTTTTAATTTTGATACAGGGTATCGCTGAGATGCTCAGACTGGTCTTAAACTTACAATCCTCCTATCTCAGCTACTGTAATTCCTCAGTATCTGGGATTACAGGTATGTACCTCCATGCCCAATGAGCGACTTTTTAAATTTTAGCGCAATTTTAGGCTTAGCAAAATTAACTGGAAGTTACAGTTTATACATGTAGCCCACACATATGCATAGCCTACTCCATGATCAACACTTCCCATCAGCATGGTACATTTGGTACAACTGATAAATCTACATTGACACATCATTATTACTCAGAACACACAGTTTGTATTAGAGTTCACTCTTGGTGTACAAATGTATAATGGTTTGAAAAACTGTATAATGACATATACCCATTATTGTAGTATAATAGACAATAGTTTCCTGGTCTTAAAGATCACCCATGCTTTCTCTAACTATCCCTCCCACTCCCCGGGCCCCTGAAAACACTGATATTTACTGATTTGATAGTTTTTTTTTTTTAGAGAGAGAGAGAGAAGAGAGAAAATTTTTTAATATTTATTTTTCAGTTTTCGATGGACACAACATCTTTATTTTATGTGGTGCTGAGAATCAAACCCAGTGCCCCGCGCATGCCAGGCAAGCACAATACCGCTTGAGCCACATCCCCAGTCCATGATGGTTTTGCATTTTCCAGAATGCCATACAGTTGGAATCATCCGGTACGTTGCCTTTTCAGATTGCCTTCCTACAGTCAGTAATGTACATTTGTCTCCTCCATTCCATAGCTTGATAGCTCCTTTTTTTCGGTGATGAGTACCCTAGTACCTATATATACTGCAATTTGTTCATTCACCTTCTTGAGGTATATCTTAGTTGCTTCCAAATTTTGGAAATTATGAACAAAGCTGCTAAAAATAGTCATGTGCCAGTTTTTGTGTGGTCATAAGTTTTCAACTTATTTTTAATATATACTTATGAGTACAAATGCTTGATTGTGTAGTAAAATTGTTTCATTTAGCAGGAAACTAAAGACAGCCAAATTGTCTTCCAAAGTGGTTATACCATTTTGCATTCCCACCAGCAATGAATGAAAGTTCCTGTTGCACCATATCTTCACCAGCATTTGATATTGTCAGTATTAGGGATTTTTGTTTATATTTTAGTAAATGTATAGTAGTATCTCATTGTTTTAATCATCATTTCCAGATTACATGTGATGTTGAAAATTTTTTTTCATATATTTATTTCAGTCTTTATAACTTCTTTGATGAGGTGCCTGTTCAAATATTTTCCCCATTTTAAAATCAGGTTGTTTTCTTAGTGTTATTTTAAGAGTTGTACATTTTGGATAAGCCTGCTTGTTTGGGTGTGATTTTTCCCCCCACCAAAACTCATGTTGAAAGTTGATTCCCATGTTGGTGGTATGAGAAGGTGGAGCCTTTATGTATTGATTAGGTGTTTGAGAGAGATTAATGCCACTCCTGTGGGACTAGCTTCACATCTAGTGAATTCTTGCTTTTGATACCTTGCCTTAGTTACATAAGGTAAAGATGCTCAAATTTTCTCTATTCTGCAGGTGCCTATTTTTTCTTCCACTTTCTATCATGAATTGAAGCAACACAATGCCAATGTGTTTGCCAATGGTTTGCCAATGGCATGTTCTTGGATTTTCTGGCCTCCAGAATCACGAGCTAAAATAAACCTTTTCCCTCTTTTTAAACCTTTTTCTTATATAAGTTATCAAATGTT